TCCACGAATAACTCCAGTAAAGGTGTGTGTTTTATTGCCGTCGTCCCTGATACCTTTATTGGTACTATTAGAGTCACTGGCATACTGACGAGGAAATTATTTAAATGCTCATTAAAACACACACCTTAACAGCCCTAGCCGGTTTTGCTCAGTGGATAGAACGTTGGCCTGTGGACTGAAGGGTCCCCGGTTTGATTCTGGTCAAGGGCACATACCTGGGTTGCAGGCTCGATCCCAGTGTGGGCGTGCAGGAGGCAGCCAATCAGTGATTCTCTCTCATCATTGATGTTTCTATATCCCTTTCCCTCTCCCTTCCTCTCTTGAAATCAATATAGAGAAAACTTGAATAGCAGAGGGAGAGTAGCATTTCTCTGCAGGAGTACAGTTGGGTGTCTGTTCCCAAGCATTACAATAAAAAATGATGTTTCCTCAACGTTTGCAAGTTTCGGCTTCCCTGGAGCCTCCCGTGCGTTAGGTGGGCTGCATTAGAATCCCTCCAGCGTTTTATTACTGCCAGAGCTATACCGACAGGCATCCCAGAAACACCCAGTGCTGGGTCCGAGATGGACAATAACCAACAAGCCCTGGCCAGTGTGTCCAGTGGTTAGAGCACTGGCCCGCGCACCGAAGGGAGGCAGCCAGTTGATGTGTGTCTCTCACATCTTTCTTTCTTTCTTCCTTCCTTCCTTCCTTCCTTTCTTTCTTTCTTTCTTTCTTTCTTTCTTTCTTTCTTTCTTCTTTCTCTCTCTCTCTCTCTCTCTCTCTCTCTCTCTCCTCCTTCCCCTTCTTCTCACCCTTACATTCTCCCTGAAAAGCAATGGAAAAAGATATCCTCAGGTTAGGATCAACAAAACAAAAAGAAAACACACGAATCATGCAAAGCCCCAAACCCGAACATCTGCATGGCAGCGGGGACTTCTGTAGGGTGTGTCCACGTACTGGGCCCTGCTTGGTTGCCCCCAGTGTGTTGTTCCCATTCTACTGATGAGGAAATCGAGGCTCGAGCGCTTAAGGACCTGGTTGACTTAACTGTGCTGGGAAGGTCAAGGCAGAGGTGTGAACCCACACTGCTAGCTCGTTGCTGAGAGATCACAGAGGGTTTTGAACTTGAGAAAAACACAGGGGGCTCCCTTTAGAGCCCGCGAAGCGAAGAAGACCCAGCGTGGACCTTAAGCCTGAGTTATCGCTCCCAGTGCAGCTGACAGTTCCAGGTCTGTAGGCCGAGCTCCACGCTGCTGTGTAAGTCACTTCAGAATAACCCAGGCGTCCGCCCGGCAGCTTGGAACCTCCGTAGCCCAGTGGGAAGTGGGTCCTGTCTGGGCCACCGGTGGGGTCCTCACCCGTGGAGGCTCCAGTTCACCTCCGGGCAGGTGGCCCTGAGCTCCAGGTCGGGTGCCAGCGAGGAAACCTCTGGTCCCCGAAGGGGAAGGGGCGGCCCTCTCACCGAGGGTCTGCTGCTGCGTTTGCGAAGGAGCCGTCCGGGACTGTGTGCGCCGCCAGGTTTCGGATAGAAAAATGCTCCGCGTGGCTCCCCAAGACTTTCTGACGTCCTTCAGTTCTGACGTGTGAGGCCCCCGGTGCTCAAGGCGATTCTGGGCGGGAGATCTCCGTGAGGTGGGAATGGAAATGAGCATTTTATTTAAAAAAGAGGGGGGAGAGGTGTCAGGGAGGGCCTGTGAGGGCCCCAGGGTTTTAAAGTCAGAAGCTGCCGGGTCCCGGGAAGGCCAGCGCCGGGGTGAGTGTTGCCAGGTGAGGGGGGAGTCCAGGGAGCTCAGCCGTTTCCGGGGGCAGGAAAAGAAAGGGCTCACCCCAGCGTGACGAGGGGCCCAGCAACCCGACTTGAGGGATGCGCCTGATGGTGAATTCCGGGCAGGTGACTTCCTCCCCAGGCCGCGCCCAGTTAGAGATTGACAGGCGCCTGCCCCTCTTTTTTTAAAAAACGAGAAGTGGAAACGTCTGAGCTGTTTGGGACGTGTGGCTACACGTTTCCCAGCAGCTGCCATCTTGAGTTGATTTTTAAAAAACGTTTTAATCGGCCATTTCGCCTGCAGAGCCTGCCTCGGAGTTCTGACTGGTCTTTGGCTAGCTATAGAATTTTCTAGAAAATGCGTGGCTGTCAGTGCAAGAAACAGGAGTGCTCTGGAGATACCCAAGGAAATGCAGATGATGGAAAGGGAGAGTGGGGGAAGGGAGGGGCCCCTGGTGCTGGGACTCGATGAATGGCCGAAGCCCAGGTGAAGGCATGGAGGCGCCCTTTAATTTGAAGCCCTACGACCTGTGGGGTGTGGCCCTTCATCTGTGCTATTAGCTGCTGTGTCAGAAAGAACTTTTATCGATCTGCTTCTTATTTCTTATTTATCCTGCTCCAGGAGAGGGTTTGAGGAAGACAATCTGCTTCTTATTTCTTACTTATTTATCCTGCTCCAGGAGAGGGTTTGAGGAAGACTCTATAAATATGGCCTCTGGCCTGCTCTCCCGTGCGTCTGCAGGAGGTAGCGAGTCCGTCTCCCACGGAGAGTAACTAATAAGCCAGGATGGGAGATGGTGCCTCCGAGGAAACGGCACTTCCTGTCTAGCTGAGTGGCATGCAGAAAGGGGGTGCTGGGGTGCTGTGAGGCCCTGCACCCCCACGTGCTGCCCGGGGCCTTGGGAAGGTCCCCCACCGCTTTCCAGGTGGGCACGATTCTCCTGGGGCCCCAGCGTGAGGAACTGAAGTCCCCAGACGCCCTGGAGAAAGGAAAGCGTCTCGCTCAGAGGTTCTCCTTGAGCTGTTTAGAAGCGAGGTGAAGCTGAACATCAGTTTCCCTTTTCTTTCCGGCCTTCCTCCCCAGCGGTCTCCTCGCCACCACGCGCGCAGACACGACAGAGGAGACCAGAGTGAAATGATCCCGTAGGACAGCAAACCCGCAAAGCTGGCCTCGCTTGCCGGAGGTGGGGCTCTGGCCCCGTCGGCTCTGTGGCCCGGCAGAGTTGACCCCCTGCGCCTTGGTCAGCCTGCTTTTCTGTGACATCGCACACCCTGCGTGGCTCTGTCGGCTCTGTGCCTGGCCCCGTCAGCTCTGTGGCCCGGCAGAGTCGACCCCCTGCGCCCTGGTCGGCCTGCTTTTCTGTGACATCGCACACCCTGCGTGGCTCGGGAGGCCCTGCCCCCTCGGGAGTCGTCAAGACTAACCTACCGGCGTGGAATTCACGGCATTCGGTCCGAGCCCCTTGGTTTTTCCTGCTGAGGGTGCAGCCCCCCAGAAATATAACTCATGGGTGGAAAACAAAAACGGAATCTCTGTACAGGATTTCAGAAGTCCTTCAATGGACCAGGGCAAGGCGGGGACTGGCTTCTTCCCTCTGCACCCCACTGTACCTCCCATCAACTTACTAACGTTGGTTATGGTCACCAGCATGGTTCCTCGGGTTTATCATTGTGAGGATCTCCCAGGTACAGGGGAGGTGGAGAAAGCAGAAGGGGTTCTTCCAGATTGTGGCTGTGATGTCGTGTTCCCCGTTCCTTCCGGCCAGCGAGCAGATCTGGTGGTGGAAGGCAGGGCCAGCCCGCGTCGTCCTGTGTGTGTGAAGCAGTAGGACAGGCGGCAGCCTCACCTGCAGGTTGAGGGGGGCAGCCACAGGACGGGCTCTGGACGGAACGTTCAGCTCCATGACTGCCCCAGTGACGGACAAGACTCCACCCTGGCTCAGTGCCATCAGGGTCTGTGACAGTTTGTACCCAGTGCTCCCCTTCTCCCCCCCAGAGCCAGTTTGTAGCAAACCCATGCGTGCCACCATTGATCCCTACTGCTGTGGTGGGCCTGGCATTCTTCCATTCGGTTAACTTTCTGGCAAAGGACTTCATGTAAGCCAATGGCCCCCTCCCCTTCTGGGGGGTCTGTGGAGGCCGACCCCACGCAGTGGTTATGGTTAGAGTGTGTGTGAGGCCACGGAGGGGCAGCTGTCACACAGTAGTAATCTTCATAGCATGCTAATTCCTTCTGCGCCTGCATGTCCACGTTGAAGTTTGATAGCGCTTTCTGCGCGGATGCTGATATATGAAACCCTAGAATTTCCTGGAGTTAAAATCCCAAACGAGGCAGCCATTTCTTTTAAAAAAGCCTTTGCAAGGTGATTCCGTCTGACTTGTGTTCTTAGAACTTCCTTGGAGCAAATATTGCCTCATCAGTGGTTCTCAAAGGGGTTGGGGGTTCAGTTTTGCCCCCCAGGGGACAGTTGGTAATGCCTGGAGAAATGTTTTATCTTAGTGACTGGGGGTGGGGGTGGGCAGGGGGGTGTAGAGGCCAGGGATGCTGCTGAACATCCTACAGTGCATAGGGCAGCCCCCACGACAAAGAATTATCGGGGTCTCAATGTCAGTCATGCCTTGGTTGACAACCTCCCCCTCCACCCCCCAGAGAGTTGCCGGTGTGGGCAGGGCACCCTTTATGCAGTCCACCTTTGATATCATCACCATTGTTGGAGTCAGGCATTCTCATAGACATCTCATCTAGCTTCTGAGCAGACGCCAACAAGGATACCTTTTCTTTAGGGGCGCAAACTGAGGCTGGGGTCTCAATGTCAGTCATGCCTTGGTTGACACCTCCCTCCCTCCCCCCCAGAGAGTTGCCAGTGTGGGCAGGGCACCCTTTATGCAGTCCACCCTTGACATCATCCCCACAGTTGGAGTCAGGCATTCTCACAAAATCTCATCTGGCTTCTGAGCCGACGCGAACAAGGATACCTTTTCTTTAGGGGCGCAAACTGAGGCCAATGGAATTGGCTTAGCTGAGGTCCGGTGGCCGGTCTGGGCATTGCCAGGCCGCCTGCCCACACACACAACGGGCTTCTTCAGCCCCCAGCCAGCTGGGGACGGACACCTAGGGCCTGGCCTAAGGGTCGCCCCACTGCGGGCCTGGGCTTTGCAGAAAGCGCTTCCAGGTCCGTGGCCCCGCGGCAGGCTCGCCCCGCGCCGCTTCTCACGCTCTCTTCTCTGCCTTTCTGTCCGTGTGTCTCCCCAGGTAAAGATGAGCCTTCCAGCTACATTTGCACAACATGCAAGCAGCCCTTCACCAGCGCGTGGTTCCTGCTGCAGCACGCGCAGAACACGCACGGCTTCCGCATCTACCTGGAGCCCG